AAGAAAAAAAGAGCTGTTTACTTTCCATCCGATGTATCCCAGACTATGAAGTGAGCATTGTTAGAACATTATCACTTATGAGTGGCCATAATGTGTTGACTCATGTAAGTGAGAAGACAGTACAGATACATTTTCACACACATGCAGTCAAGCAGTTGGCAGTTACTGAAAATATGTAAAACAAGTATGTGATTACTTGCAGTTATCACAAATGTGGGAGTGAGAACAGACCTGCAACCGAAGACCAAAGTAAGGGACAAACCTGTTGTGTGTGGGAAAGTTAAAGTTGAAAAATGGATCGGTATGGAGAGTAAACCGAACATCACTCAACAACAAGGCTGAAGTTCATTCTCACTGGCAGTCATTCTGTGGTGTTTCGGTTCTGTTCAACACGTTTGGTTAAAAGGCCTACATCACACACTAAGTACCTGCTTTTTCATTGACAAACAACCGCACTGTGTCTTTATCCACTGCTAACACTGCACACAGCAGAGCTGGCGTCCTCCTCTGTGGTGCTCGTCCTTGCACCGTGCACGACTCGTGCTGGCTGCTGCAGGCTTTTCTATAACCTCCCTTTTTCTTCCACTCAATCAATGGGTACATTTTTGGATACTGACAAATCTTTCCACTGGGTTTAAACCAAACAATCAGTGTGAGATTGGAGTGCAGACTTTTACCTTTACCTTCAGGTAAAGCATCAACATTTTAGGATTTACAATCATTTTTACACACAGTTCCTATTTTCAGGGAACAAGCAGTTTAATGACCTCGTGATTTAATTAGAAACACAGCATTTAGAGTTTGTTTGAGGCAGTCAGTGACACCAAAGCACTTCCAAGTATTAGAAACACTTCCTAAAATGGGTTTAGATAAAAATGGCTGTAGTTTCTAAACACTTTGTGCACTAACTTTGTTTAATCCCTTAAATTAAAGCTCAAAGTCTGCTCTTTAATCACAACTAGATTCTGTTATGTAGAATCCACTGGTGTGGGGCACGGATACAAAACTCAACAAAAAACTGTCATTGTCTTCAGACCTAATCACCTAACTGTACGCCTTTGTAGTAGTTCAGCACAGAGCTATTATCATAAGTTTTCACTCTTAGCCTCACAGGCTGCTTATGGTTCTGTAACTCGTGCACATGTGAGGGGAACCGCAAATAAACCGCATCTCAGATTAGTGCTGAGCAACAGACTGAGCAACTGCTGATTGTCTCTTATTTGTCAGATATGTCCGTTGCAGTGGTAAATGGACTACTTTTCTACTCTCCCAGAGTACTCAAAGCGCTCTATACAGCGTAGATGGACTGGATGGATTGATGGATGGCAGTGTTTGTAGTTAGTTTGTCACTGTAACAGTAACTGTTGCCGTTTTCAGTCTTGAACTGTTAGTTAATAAGTCTGAGTTTCTGTTTTGCTCTCTTGTTGTTTCTGTGTATGGACTTTTTCTGTGATTGTATTTTCAGAGTCCTTTCCCCTCTGTCTTTGTACCACACTTGAGTGTCTGCTTGTTACCTACAAAGCACAGGAAAACCTTAGAAATGCTTGTAGAAATGGACTGTTAGATGATAACAGATAACAAATGGGTAGTATTATTATGAGGAGTAGTATGTAAGATCACTTTCCCTGTGACTGAGAACTAAAATGGTAAATGGACTGGTTCTTATAAAGCGCTTTTCTACTGAGTGCTCAAAGGGCTTTACACAACTTGCATCATTCACCCATTCACATCCATTCATACAAGCATTTCTAAGGTTTTCCTGTGATTTGTAGGTAACATTCATATACATTCATACTCTGATAGATGCATCGAAGAGCAACTTGGAGTTAGCATATTGCCCATGAATACCCACCTTGTGATTAGTAGATCACATACTCTACAGCCACAACTGTGCAGAATGTAGAATTACCAACATGCCTGTGTCTGTTTGAGTGTGGAGAGGAAAGAGGAGCCCCTAGAGAAAACCACATTCACTGTCCTCAAAGAAGAGAAGCTCATGGTGATTGTTAGAATCAGCTCTCACTTAAGAGCTGCTTTTAATGTGCCAGACGTCTTTGCACTCCTGTGAGCGTGGGTAGAGGGAGACGACCCTGGGCTGGGTAGTTCTTCATCTGATGAAAAAAAGGTCAGGAGCCACTGCTCGTGTGATAATATATATATAATACTATGTAAAGGTTTTGAGCCTGCCCATATCTTTTATATGCTGCTATAACAAATCCGTCCATGATTTACTGAAATATGTAAACATGCACAGAAACACAGCTAGTATCATTCTTATTCGGTTTCCTTATATATTATAAAGAGTTTGAAAGTGAATATTTGGTGTGAGCAGCTTTGTTGTCCGGCACAGTCTGAACTCCTGACTCCAACCTTGTCTCAATTCTTTTACCGGCTTCTAAAAGGACATTTAAAGCTCTTTGTTAGATGTTTCTGTTTTTTGTTCTCTTCTCTGTCTGGGTGATTCCACGCTGCTTCAATAATGCTGAGGTCTGGGCTCCAGGGAGGTCAATCCATGACTCATGGTGTTGTTATTGTCTTTCTTGGAGCCTATCCAGCAGTCATAGGGTGAGAGGCAGGGCACAGCAGGGTACAACAACGGGCTGTCGTGCTGTTGCAAGGCTAACACAGAGAGGCAGATATGCATTCACACAGGTAGCTGGAGGACTCAGAGGGAGAACATGCACACGGTGTACAGGAAGGCTTCGGCTGACTGCTGGCTTTAAATACACGATCTTCTTATTGGACCCTTTTTGCAGTCATTTGTCAGCAAACACAATGAAACATAACTTGAGGCTCTTTGTAGTTTGAATCCACGTTTGCTGATTTATGGCCTCCTTACTAATCATATATAATGTTTTCCTTTTTTATGTTCTGTTGCTGTGTTGGGCTGCAACCTGGTTTTCCTTACAGATACATGCTGTAAAAGCTGCAGTGTGGCCATTTCTCCTCCAGGGGGCTCTGTGTGGTTGCCTTCCATATCAGGACTCATTACTGCTGTGGTTAGCCGCAGTAATGTGGTAAGAGCTGGAGTCACCGGCCTACAGTGCACACGGTGAACCTCTAGGTGTCACCCATTGTCTAGTTGTCAAGGCAGAGGGGAGGGAGGCGTCTGTAATCTACCCCCCCCCCCCACCATGAAAATTCAACCATTTGGGGGTTTTAGCAGCACCTAGTTCCACGTGCGTCTCCAGCACATTTCTGCCTGCCACCACATCTAAGCTCGGTCTCTTTTTGTTGTGAACTCGAGTGGCTCTGAGACTGATGACAGACGGGCTTCTCTGTTTCTCTGAGCTCAGACTAAATTAATTCTAAATGCTTCCAGACATTTTATTAGCAGAAATGCTTCTAATATGAATAATAAAAAGCGAAGTTTCCTGATGCTAGGATCAGTAACTGAGGAGAGCAGGTGGCTTTACCCTTCATGAAATCCATTTTCAGTGTATTCTCTGTGTTCAGAGCCTTTAGAATGACAGAAATGCAGCTAATTATTTTTAAAGCGAATTAGCCAAATTACTAACTAACAAGTGGTTGTCACAAAAACAACTGTTGATATATCAAGCAAGGGATGGCATAAATCCCTTATATCTGAGAAGACCAAATTAAAAGTGTTAAAGTTGAACTTATTATTTAAACTATTTGATCATTTATTTATATATTTACTAATTTGTCTCATTTCCACAGTTCTGTGTTGTTTGTGTTTGTAGTTTGTCAGTGTTGTGCTGATAGTGTGCTGTGTCACTGTGCTGACATGTTGTGTATGATTTTTCTAATCACTAAGACTGAAGCTCATTCTTTCACTGATTATCAGCTGATGTTGATGCCATGTGAGCAAAAAATAATTGCTAACTAGTACCTGAAATACTCCATAATCCATACTAATAAAATGATAATGCACTGCTGCGTGTGCATTTGTTCTGCTGGTATTTGACGACGCTTCACTGCAGAGGTGAGATACATACATACATACATACCAGCGTTTGTGATGCTGTGTCCTCATGAAGACCGGCTGTTAGCTTTATTAACATAACATTTTTTAAGAAAATGTTTGAAACACAAAAACTTGGGTAAGTAGTGGAGTGCTATAGTTCAGAGATAAGGGCAAGAATTAAAAGAAAAGTAGAGGTCTGCTTGGTTTTACTCAGACAAGTCAAGGTTACACAAAAGCTGAACGAGGAAGAGTAAAATTGAGTTAGTTCTGAAGTCTGCCAACAAATCTGCTGCCTATAAACTGAAGTTATGAACTTGACACATGAAACAAACTCAAAATAACCAACCTAGCATACAGAGCACAACTAGCTGGCTCATCAGACAAGTGACAGACTAACCTGATTACCCCACATACATATTTTATGAGGTTTTTTTACTCAGAAGTAGGCTACCACTGCAGGACTTGGTTGTGCATTAGCAACAAAGAGTTTAATTTGAGCCTGAGAGGGTTAAAAGAAGGGAACCAATCAGAGAGGACTCCGTGTTATAACTACGAAAGCATGGACAGATGAAACAACAATCCTAGTTTCTCGTCAGCACCAGGGTGACAAAAAGTCAGCATCCCTTTTAGACTGCAGTTAAACCGTTACTTATAAAGCCGTCTCTAGACCCAGCGGTCTTAGCTGCTATAAAACTACTCTCTACTATAATCAGCTAACAGATCATCTGCAGAGGAATGGCTTATTTGAAGAGTTTCAGTCAGGTTTCAGAGCTCATCACAGCACAGAAACACCTTTAGTGAAGGTTACAAATGATCTTCTCATGGCCTCTGGTTTGTATCATATCTATCTAATAGACTCCAGTTTGTGCATGTACAGTAAATGGAGAGTCCTCTTCACACACTGAGGTTAATTATGGAGTTCCACAGGGTTCAGTGCTAGGACCAATTCTGTTTACATTATACATGCTTCCCTTAGGCACCATCAGTAGAAGACATAGCATACAAATGTTTCTTCTTTGCTCACTATGTGTTAACAGACCTCTCTGAATTTAATCGTGGGTTATTAATAATCTCTGCCTCTCTTCCACAGCATCTCTGTCCTCTCTTCCTCTCCTCACCCCCCAACCAGGGTGAGATGTTCACCCCTCCCAGAGTCTGGTTCTGCTCAGGGAGTTTTTCCTTCCTTCTGTTGCCAACTACTTGTTGTTTGATTGCTGAAATGTCACTCTAAGGTTGTATGATGTTTACAGTATAAAGCACCTTGACGTGACTGTACATAGATAAGAAAAAATGTATTCATTTAAACAATTAAGCATGCTGATTTGTACTGCCATTCGATTGATGGGTCAGCATTGTTTGGTTAAAGAATGAAAGAAGAATGGATTGCAAATAGAATTTGGAGGGTGAATTATAGCTGTAGCTAACGTGTGGTGTGTACAAAGTCTTGAACGAAGCAGATGGTGGTAATACGGCTAAATGTTTGACACAACTCACGTGACCTCAGCATCCACATGGACCCCACAGAAGTCTGTTTCAAATATAACACAGGTAAGATTAAATTATTGAACAGTACTCTATATATTAGAGGTTGTGTTGTCATGTAAAGGAAAATGAATATGTTGTGTACAAGGGTTGTTTGCAGATCACCCGGGTCGTCATCTGCACTGATAAATAATCCTGACAGAAGGACGTTTACAGCAAATCAAATCTAGTCTGAAATACGTCTCATATTGAAAGGAATGACAGTAAAGTGGATTTCATTGTTTTCTATCAGCATGTTTGGTTGATCCAGTCGACTGCAGCCGTTCCATTTCCGCTCATCCTCATCTTCCTGGGAAGAAAGCGGAGCTCTAAAAATTCCTGCTGTGCAACAGAAAATGTGACCCAGACACCTCAGTCGGGTTTGTGCATTATTTTATTTGTTTTTCATTCCCCTGCACCAATAATCCACAAACACAAGTGTCTATTAACTCAGTATTATATTAATGAATACATATTATAGTGACAAATAAAAAATAATCACAATACAAAAGAGCCATTTAAATATGTCGAATGTCAATCGCATGTCAGTCTTGATTCAACGTGTACTCAACATGCATTTAAAATATAAAAATAGACTTCTGATTACAATTATATACATTTTTTATAAATATAAGTATACAAATGTATTTTCAAAATACAAAGATAAATACAGTCACATTGTGTACCTTTTTTTTTGGATATTTAGCATTCACAAAACACAATTATTAAAACTGAAACACAACTTTAACGACACTTGCAGGTCTTGTTTTTTTCTTTGTTATTTCCTTTTCTGTCTTTTTTGCCACCAACACACCCTCACTTTCATTCTGCACTGAGGGGGCAGGGAATAAACAGGAAGTCTAGCTCTGCCGAACATCCTGTAACAGTTTGTTGATCTCAGCCACCAAATCACTGGCGTCCACCAATTCATGCCGGCTATCGCTACGTTTGCCCTGAAGGTGACCGAGCACCGAGTCAAAATCGTCCTCCTCGTAGTTCTCTGGGATCTCCTCCATGGCTGGCAGCCACTTGGAGGAAGGCCCAGGGAGCGGCGCCGACACCGGCACCGGGGGAGGCTGCACCAGCGTGGGGCTGACCAGCGCTGTAAGCAGAGGGCTGCTGTGGGGCTTGTTCTGGGGGCTGTTTTTGGGCGCCTGTGAGCCCTTGTGGCTGCTGCTCTGTGAGCTGAGCTTGGTGCTTGGTTTCAGCGTGTGGTAGCTACCGCCCTGGTGGTGGCCAGATGGGCCTATGCTACTACCTGGGTTCTGGAAGTGAGTGTTAGCAGCCCAGGCTGCCACTCCCTGTTGGTGTACAGAGGGGCTGGGCTTGCCGGGCAAATGGCCCCTCCTGCGATCTAAAGATCCAGTCATCGGTACGCCCATCCCACTCAGGCTAGTCCCCTTCTGGTTTTCACTGACCTGGACATATGAGTCCAGGCCCTGGGGTATTAACCTCTGAAACACGCTGCTCATCTCTGAAAGCAAAGACGTGGTCCCACACAGGTCTTCGTCTGCGGCCTCGTTGCTGCCGGCACCTTCTCCCCCTTCGTCTTCACCGTCCTCCCCAACGAGGTCCTTGCCAAAGGTGGAGAAGCTCTGGTTCCGGGCGGAGCCGGTATCAGTGCAGGGCTGCGGAATCTTTTCTTGAGACACGTCACTGGCTTGGCGGGCTTCTTCCCCGGGGATGTAGAGATTGCTGCGGTAGTCAGAGGAGGCTGGGGAGGCCAGGGGTGGCATCCAACACTGATCAGAGTGACCCAGAACGCGGCACTCATCCGTGCAAAGCCTCATGGCTGCAGAGAAGACAGAAGCATGAGTAATCATGAGTGAGCTGCATCCATATGGTCACTCTATACAAAACTAAACCTGCTTGTGTTTTGAGTAATTTAAAGATAAACCTTTTACTAAAACCTAAACAGGAAAGTGAAACTCACAGAACATGGGTTTGTTTCAATCCTGATAGTACACTCAGGACACTGAAAAGGTTCTCCACAGAACTGGTGGGAGACCCTCTCTCTTTCACTGTTCATCAAACTGATCATCAGCGAATGTGACCACCGTCTAAAACATTTAGCCGTGTGTTAAGCTACCATCTATTAGAAGACTGAACAGGTGTGGCCTTCATGTTTGCTCACAGGTGGGTTTCTCAGGATTATTGTCGGGTCTTTACATTATGAGATAAAGTGCTTTGAAGTGACTGTTGTTGTCATTTGATGCTATGTAAATCAAACTGACTTGCTACTAAGGATGGCTCTACCTGCTATTGAATTAGTACCAAATGACTCATGGCCCGGGGGTTTGGGACCGCTGCCATAAATGAGTTCATAGATTCCTGTAGAAACGTTCTCTTCCACATGACTGTATGAATATACACAATGCACAAGAAAATAAGTGAATACCTACGGGCCTACTGGTGATATTTACAATTTCAAACATAATAGGAAAAAATGACTTCAAACTACTTTCAAAAGCATCCCATAATGTCCTGTGTATGTCCATATTTTATGCTGTAAACAGGCAGAAATGAAGAAGTCTCCATCCAGCTAACATTTTTCTGCCCGTCCTCAGGTGTTTCTTTCTTTTCATGCTTGGCTGTCTCTGGAAATCTGCCCTAATTAGTCTGAGAGGCTCTTTGCAGGAGCTCTGCCGTCTATCGTCCAACGACTTCACCACAGAGAGACGATTCAGCCGGGCCGATCAATGCCTATTACCCATTCAAAATAACTCCTCCTTTAAAAGCCCTGCATTTTTCCCTTTCAAGTCACTCTTTTCAATATTAAATCTTCAAATAGAAAATCTCTGAAGAATAAATTAGACAAATCAAATATGCCAACTTAAAGCCTTCATTAAAGGACTGCGGTGCTTTTCAGTGACGCTGTTGAGGGACTTCATTATCCCCTCATTAACATGAAAGGAACATTTATAATACATCTTAGAGCAGATGAAAAGTGCATTTGGGTGCAGTGGAAGGATGAAAACAGTGCGGGGGCAGAAGCAGATTGGCTACCTCGCTGATGAAAGGCTAAAAATGAAAGATTTAACCCGAGCGACTGGTGTGTGAAAACAGAAAAGGAACAAAAATCCACGTCAAACAAACATTAACCTCCTAAGACCCAAACTCTTTCATGCCAAGCAAGTTTAATTCCTCTTTGCTATTTGGGCTGATTGGGACCTGATGAATGTAAAAATAAAGAATTTTTTACCTGATTTTGTTTTTGACAAAAATGAGATTCACATATGAGGACATTCGTTTTAAATTTCAACAGAACCATGGCAGTATAATGTCCTTTTAACTGGATATCAGGCTCTTGTAGAGCAAAATTTAGTATTTTGGTCTAGACAACCTAAAATGTGATGTCCACATATGTGGACGCAGGTCCTGGGAGGTTAAATGAGAGCCTCCTGACTAACTGGGATTTACTTTTCAGAGAGGACTGAGGACAACATGGTTGGCTGTGTGTTTACTTCAGAGACTGGATTTGATCAGTAAACCAATTCAGCTTCTATTCCTGCTAAGAGGAGGACGCACGATCAGTGAATGTCGGTGATCGGACTGACGCCTACGATTTACAGGAGCACTCTGGCTTTGTGTGAAGCAGGCACAGACCAAAGGAGAAGAGTCAGAGTGGAAAGGAGACATCCAGTCAAGCTTTAAAAACACTGCGTTGTACTAATGCCTTCGTATTTAAGACAAAGTTCCAGTCATCGGCCCCTGAGGAACGTTCCCAGGCTGATATCTAAACCTGGAGGAGTAATCTATTACTGTTACATGTGCCTGAATAGGTCTCCCTGCCTGTATGTAATGACACTGTTTACTCAGTATTCGTGCTAAATATAAAGACGTGATCAGGCTGATCAGCAGCGCTACACAGAGGTCTATTAGAAGTAAGCCAGCAGGGTTACTCATGTACAAGAGCTTAAAGGCAGTACAAGTGTTAAATAAAGGTGAATGTTGAGTAAAATGTGCAAGTACTGTTTTACTGATGGCTCTGTACTACAGCTGTGTATTAGCTGTGAAAAACAGAGAACCTGTCTTTGGCATCATTTATTGCAGTCTTCTCCATCTAGACAAGCAAGAAACAAAGCTCTGTGTTACATCCAAGGGGGCGGGGGTTAAGGCTTCCACACTGAGTCATAATAACAGAGAGCTGACTTTATGCTGCAGTGGACCGGGAGTGGGAGGTGGCCTAAGCATCCATAAGGAGAAAGTTGAGCCTAGAGATGTAACTGTGCTCTTCAGGGTTTAATCATGAGCCCAACTCTGAGCCGATTGCATAGCAACTCTGCGCCTCGTGGCAATTAAATGCCTCCATTTCATCAGAGCAAGATAAGAGCTTTGGTTTGGATGGCTGGAAATGAAGGTTTGAAGGTGGGAAAAAGCAGAGCGCCTAACGAGCAGAGCTCCTCTACAAAACTGTAAAGAAGGGGTGGGAGGGAAGGAGGAGGCGTTAGTGATGAGATTGTCTGCCCGTCTGAATCGACTTTAATTGGGATGTAGCTCAAATGTGGTATTAAGTGATGGCTGTGTGGGAAGCTGGCCGGGAAGAAGCAGCAGCTCTGGGAGAAGAGGGATGGCGTGATAAAAGATGCTGCAGAAGCTTGCAGCCTGTATGATGTTAGCCAAGACACGGTGAAAGTTTTACAGGATGTGACGGAGTGTACCCTGCTCAACTAGCATGCAAACCTGTCACACATGTGATGCCAGCATGCAGAATACTTCACAGTCAGTATGGTCACTACAAAGTGCTCATTCTTCCTCGTTAACTCAGCTGTAGAGAAGAGGGACCGCCCAGCAACATGACGGCTCAACAACCTCATGACAGTGTCACTCACAGTCCTCCAAAGTTAATACATGTGCAGCTTATTTTTTTAGTTTCAGTTTTTTTTTATTGTTTTTTCTTTCTCCAAAACGAGCTCTGACATGAAAGATAAAGATATGGACATGTACTGATAAATGATCAGAATTATAATATCTGACTGTCTGAGCCTAAACTGAATCAGTGATAGAAATCAGTAAGGATCCAGGCCCTATTACAGCTGTCTATAGGCCACAATATTCCCAGCATCCCACAAATAGACTCATGTCTTGGTAAAGTGGAAAATTCATTTTAGTTGTTAAGGATGATCTAAAGGACCTCCGACTCCACTCTAAAGAATGGGGGCAAACTCAAAAATCCCATAATATGCAAACCAGCACAGTAAAGTTTGACTTGAGGTTAAAGGAGACTCGGACAAAGACGATGTGCTCCACAGTTTTTCATATGAAGCTCTGTCTGTATAATCATCAGGCAGTTCCTCTCAGCTGTGGTCCACAGAGAACAACATGACTACAAATGACTACAGTGACGTATGAGAAACTCAAGCGTTCTTTTAAAATTGACTTGAAAACCTCTTTAATAGGGTTAATATCTTTACGACCTAAAAGGAAAGAAAATGAGCACTTAAATCACAAATCAGGTCTTGGCTAATTAAATTTTAGTAAAAATGATGTGATTTGTTGAGAGAAATTAGGCGGTGGTCAGAGGAACCAGAAAGCATCAACCATCAAGGGCTGGATTGGTATAGTACATGGCATGTTATTAGTATTGGTGGTATAGAGAATGAATTGAGGGTGTGGCACAGTCCTCATCAGATGACCTCTAGGTGGGGTTGCTAAGCAAAGGTTAAGCAGCTCTGGTGTTGCCCAGTTTGAGCCACGTTCAAAGAGTTTGTGAACCATGGAAACATCAGTGAATGATGACTCATATGCTCTAATGAATTTCCCAAATTGACGTATTGCTTTAATTCATTTGAATAAATAAATCAACCAAACATGCAGGCCACAGACTGCCAGCTACCATAATTTGCTACATTTTATCATCTCATATGAAAAGAAGCTGAAAGTGTTTGTGTTTAGAGCTGTTGGCGTGAACCTCCAGGAACACTTGTCACCATTACCTGATAAATCACCAAAAATATAAATATCCCTGTAGCTGTTAGATCAGCAAACCAAGAATCTACATGTTTAATGGATACAGTTCTTAGCAATTCTACGTATAATTATTATAAGAACAATATCAGAGTGGTGGATAAAGCTGAGCAAAATAAAGACTGAAGCTTGGCTTCATATCTACCGAGGGCAGTGCGCTGTGATGTACCTGCATGTGCTCTGTGGTGGCCATCAGGGGCATATATCTCAGTAAAGCCCTCACCGAGGAGCCTGTCCATGGGGGACTCCCTGCCGGGCTCGTAGTCGCTGTCCCCGGCCTCACTGTCTCCCCGTCCGCTGTCCTTCAGACTGAACTTATCCATCTCATTCAGGGCATATCTGCAAAAAGCCAGAAGCAGATTTGATACATGAATTACTGCCAATAATATTAGCATGCTTATGAAGACACCACACTGATGAATAATAAGGTTCACTGAGAGTGCTCTGCAGAAGGGTTTTAACATAAAATTATGCAGATGTGAAGTTATTGAGCATAGTTTAACTCCAAAATCGACTGGACCAGAACTGAGCTGAGAACAGTGGAAATGGTGCACTGTGACATGAGGAGGAGCTCAGAGGGCTCTTCCTCATGTGTGCCTAGGTGTGCCAGCACACAAAGCATCGTTCACGCATGTGTTACCTGTAGCTTCTGGTGTATTTGTTGCCTCTGAAGCTTGGCCGTGGCTGGTACTGGCCCTGATGAAGCATGGACAGAAGCTGTGAGACTTGCTACAAAGCCAAGAAAAAAAACAAAAAGAAAGGAAAAAAGACAAAATAAAAGGGAAAATGAAGAGGGGAAAATGAATGGAGTCAACAAGCAAGGCCACAAGACAATGTTTGGGGCTGAGGGAGTGCATGACTTTGTGATGGTCAACAAAAACACGACACGTACAGCTGAACAGAACACGGGCGGTAACCCCGGTACATGACAAACCACGTGCACAGCTTCAAATGAAAAGGTACTGTAAGTATAAATACTTCAAAGTATTACATGTAAATCAGGTTTACATCAATCCCATGGACATTTAAAGAAAATGAGTAAACCTCTCACCTCTACAGGAGGAGTGGCGTGGGCCAGCTCCAGAGCAAAGTTCTCTTGCACATGATTGGAGGAGATGGTGACGAGGCTGTTCAGTGACTGGCGGCTATGATGGCTCTGCCTGCTCCCCAGCGTGCCTCTCTCAGGTGTAGGGGAAGGAGAGGGGGAGCGCGGGTGTGCACGCACAGGTAAAGTTCCATTGACGGTCGGGACCAGGGTGATGTCTGCCTTGTGGATTTGCCTGGCGGGCTTCTTAGGGTGGTTCTGGTAGCTGTTCTCCGCCACGCGACAGTTGTAGTTGTGTCTGGGGTCTTTCTTCTCACGGCTGCAGCGGGCCGTCGCAAACATCAGCATCACGATGAGCAGCAGAGCACAGACTGCACCCAGAGAAATGATGACAATGAGAGAGAGATCCAGTGAGGCCTGGGTGGAGCCGGTAGGATACAGAGAGGGGAGAATGTCCATGTTCTCCTGCACAGAGAGCCTGAGGAGGGCTCCTGTGGACAGCGGGCTGATGCCTCTGTCCTGCACTTCCACCCTGATCTCCATTATGTCCCGCGGAGCCTGCTCCAGACTGGCATTGGTTCTGAGCTCACAGCGCCGGGCATCCATCACAAACAGCCCATCCTCATTGCCACCGATGATGGTGCAGCTCACCTCTCCGTTGGCACCAGCATCACGGTCTGTGACTTTAAGGGTGGTGATCAGCTGACCCGGGGATGCATACTTCCACGCGGGAAGCTCAGCGGTATGATTCCGGAGTGAGGGGGAGTGAATGATGGGCGGGTTGTCATTTTCATCCAAAACAGTCAGCAGGATGGAGGCATTGGCCGACTGCGCGGGGTTTCCCCCATCACGTGCCTGAACAGTGAAGGCGATCCGGCTGACATCCTCATGGTCAAAGCTGCGCAGTGCATAGATGGCACCATTAGAGGGGTCGATGGTGACGTAGGTGGAAATGGGGCTGTCTTGTACCACCGTGTCTATGATGGTGTAAGTGACCTGACCGTTGGTGCCCAAATCTGGATCTGAGGCCACCACTGTCATCAGGTAGGCTCCAGGAGAGTTGTTCTCTGACTTAAAGACCTCGTAGCGGCTCTTCTCAAAACATGGAGGATTGTCATTTTCATCCAGAACCTGGACGGTAAAGTGTTTGATGGTGGAGAGGCTGGGGGAGCCCCTGTCCTCAGCTATGACCGTCAAACTGTACTCTGACCTCTTCTCACGGTCCAGTGAGACATTAGTGAGAATCATGTAGTTCTTCTCGTGGGTCTTCTGGAGCCTGAAGTGGCCATGGCCGTGCAGCCTGCACACCACCTCCCCGTTGAGCCCTCCATCAATGTCATCAACACGCACCAGAGCTATGAACGTGTCCACAGGGGCCCCCTCAGAAATGTAGGCCACCTCCTCTTTGCCAGGTGTCATCAGGTTAATGTTTATCTCTGGTTTATTGTCGTTGACATCCACAACTTTGACCACGATTTTGCAAAGTCCAGGAATGGAATTAGGGCCCAAGTCCTGAGCCTGAACATCCAGCTCGTAGGAAGCACCGGTTTCATAGTCCACCTTTTTAATCAGAGTAATGTGGCCGTTTTCAGGGTGGATCTTAAAGGTCTCCAGGATCTTTGGTGAGACATGACTGCTGAAAGAGTAAACTATTTTCCCATTAGTGCCCTCGTCAGGATCCGTGGCGTTTAAATCAATAATCAGAGTCCCAAGGGGAGAGTTTTCTAGAAGATTGATGGCATAAGCCTGTTCGTCAAAGGCCGGGCTGTTGTCGTTGGAATCCGAAATACTGATCTTGAGCAGAGTGGAGCCAGACTTGGGGGGCACCCCGTTATCTGAGGCCGTTAGCTGCAACTGGTAACTGGCCTGCACCTCCCGGTCCAGTTCTCTCATCACCACCAGCTCTGCGTACTTGGCCCCGTCTGTCCGGGTCCTCACGTCGATTTTAAAAAAGTTGTTGGCTGTGAGGGAGTACGTGTGCAGAGAGTTCTCCCCTACGTCCGCATCCACAGCGCCGTCCAGCGGGATGCGCGTCCCCACTGACGCGCTCTCGGAGATCTCAATGGGGACGATGGCGCGAGCAAAGTGCGGAGAGTTGTCGTTGATGTCCAGGACTTCCACTTCCACGTGGAACAGCTGCAGGTACTCCGTGGGCAGCGTGACCACGTCGAATTCAATAGAGCAGTTGGAGTTTTTCTCGCAGAGCTTCTCGCGGTCGATCCTGGTGCCGATGCTGATCTGTCCGTCGTCCTCGCGCACGGCCAGCAGCGGCGTGCCGCGAAGCTGCATCACGCGGAAGCGAAAGCTCAGGGAGCTGGGTAACTTTGGCAGAACCGCGGACACGTCTTCCTTCAGCCGCGCGATGACTGTGCCCACTTTCTGCTCCTCGTAAACTTTGTATTTCAGAGTCTTCCCGCTGGCGCCGTGCACGAGCGCGAGCAGCAGCAGCGCGAGCTGGAGTGGAGCCGAGGACCAAACGGTCGCTTTTCTTTGCCTCCTTTTTGCCCCCATCTTCTGCGCTCACACCAAGGGATGACTTCCACAGAGGGGAGATCACGCAATGGAGAACACGAGTGTCCTTAGTGCGACATGTTCGTCCTGGGAAAACTGCACGAGACACAAAGAGAGAGGAAGAAATAAAGAAAGTCGTTTCGTGGGAGACGAACACACACAAACTGCGCCTCTCTCCTCGCAGACCGCTCTGTCACACTTCCACATATGCTCTGAGTGTGTGTGTCTGTGGCTGAGGAAGCTCCCTCCCACTCTGTGTGACTGAGAGAGAGAGAGAGAGAAAAGTCAATGTGTGCGCGCGCTAGTCTTTCTTCTCGCGCCCCTCTCTGCGCCCGCCCCGTCTCTTTTCCACACAAACACTCCTCCCTCCTCCTAAATCAGAATGGCCTCCTTTAAGCAACAGGAGTGCGGGTCGGGGGGGAGGGTGCCGCTCCCCCCACCGCAGAAGTGTGTCACAACAATGGGCCGGAGCGCGATCCATTCGGCTCAGCCTCCGTTAACACAATCGCACACTGACGGTCGCGCTTGTATTGACAGCGCGTGCCACCTCTTTTGTCGCGTGCAGCTAAAACACCAACTTATGGCTTTGAGGACAACAACGAGCCAACACGCCGAGCAGTTACACCCAGTGTGTTTATCACGGCTGCGTTAGATCACATTATAGATCATCATTATAAGGACAGGGCACAGTAAAGTTATGAATCTGTACTTATAATGCAGTAACACACCGTGTGTGTGTGTGTGTGTGTGTGTGTGTGTGTGTGTGTGTGTGTGTGTGTGAGAGAGAGAGAGAGAGAGAGAGAGAGAGAGAGAGAGAGACAGTCTCACACTGATCAGTTACAAAGTATCATGGATGCACATTAGCCACTGTAGTCACGTGACTGAGGACTAAAGTCTGTTTGTCTGAACACGACAGTCCGTCTCTCAGTCTGTGTGTCTAATCTTTTCAGAATGCATTCTCACAATCACTGAAAGTGTGCTGACCCCCCAGCTGACCCCACAGGTGTCCCTTGACAAAGCCCCACCTCCTCTTGTTGCTGCAGAGTTCAGCGGAGGCAGAATCTGCAGCTCCCCTGATCTCCATCCTGAGCCGAGCCTCAAGCAGCCCAGCCTACAATTAGCATCCATTCAGAGTGCCTGGTGACAACGAGCTGAGCTCGGACCAGTTGAGAGCAGAGCGTTCCCAGCTATGATGGTGCCAGATTATTATCAGAGCTCAGTAATGACGGGCAGTGGTCTTCTACACGGACTTTATCTTGATGTCATGGCTGCTGTGTGAGTGAAGGAAAACACCAAGATAAGTGTGTCTTTTGGTTCTGAGCTGACACCACAGAAACACCTCCACACCCCACAGTTTGGTCCATTTGATTATTCACACAGTAATGAGCTGCTCACACTTCTGTGCACCGGAGCCACATTAGCACTGCAGTCTGTCCGAGGCTGGATCTGTGACGGACTTCATCGCAATCTGACATTCCTGTGAGCGACCCGTGGGAACAGGCTCTGCACTGCCATCTGCGACTGAGCAAACACATGGACACCGGCTCACACACACACACACACACACACACACACACACACACACACACACACACACACACACACACACTGACCGACCCAACACCCATGTAGTATTCTGTTTGCAGATGCTGATTGTCAACAGACACATCTTAGAAGCTCTAAGCACTAATTTAGTTTTCATGCAGCAATGCTGTGAGCCGCTGAGACTGCATCGATGGCCTGAACTGTGTTTAGTCCCAGGTTCAGACGCAGAACACTCAGTGAAACAAGCACCAGGTTCCCATCTAACCCAGAAACTTTCAACCAAGCCTCAACCAACAAACTCTGCAGCACTTATATTTAAATGCGATGGACAGGTTCAGTCATCTTTATAATATAATATAATATAATATAATATAATATAATATAATATAATATAATATAATATAATATAATATAATATAATATAATATAATATAATATAATATAATATAATATAATATAATATAATATAGACGGGGGTTGGGTGGCTGCTGGAGGGTCCTGGGCAGCTCATGTGCAGCAGGCTGTGTGATGGGGTGGATGCAGAGACTTTGCCCTCAGGGACCATAACATGAGTGAAAAGAGGGTGCAGCACCTTTGTCATTGAAATGAAGCAGGAGATCCCCATGACAAAGGCTGCGGAGCAGGTGGAGCAAGCCCACCCCCACTCATTCCCATAGAATGAGTGGTGCAGGGGGGTTAAGGGTGGAAGCTGGGAGACGTGGGGTGATACTCGGGCTTCCTCTGCTTCTATTCAGCTGACGGGATTTTCTCCCAATTTAGACGTGAAGAAAGTTGGAATAAGACTTGATGGAATGAAGATCAGTGACACGCTCGGATAATCTGCACCAGAACAGCCGTTGTGTCGGGAACAACCAGTCCCGGTCATTTACACTGCTCTGTGCAGATATTCAGCATCGCTCCCATGTGGGGGTGTTTGGGGGTCTCGGCATGCGTCGGGAGCATTGTCAGGGCACACGAGCATCTGCCACTGTTTCATTACCATGCTGTCAGATCGTGTGAGAATGAATGGATTTGGGCTGGAGGAGAGGGGGGCTAGGAAGGACCCTGCCTGCAAGTCAGCTGATCACCACTTCCAGTGCTCTCCAAAGTGTGAGCGCTGGAGACTAACCTAATGACAGGAAGTCGCCTGCAAACTCAACACCAGCAAGCACAGATGCTTGTGTTTGACACAGCAGTACACAACACCGGGACCATCACCTACGACTTTACAGAGTTAGAGGCAGCTGAGCCGAGCTTTGCAGAAAATTCCACAGTGTCTGAAACACAGGATGGTCCATCCAGATGCACGCGTCACAACACGTCTTCACAGAACTTCATCAGAACTGCACACAGAGACTCGTGTGTGTGCAGACAGTTTCAGCACACACTGACAGCAGTGACTCATCAGGTTTCAGAAGACACACATAAAGTACTCCAAGTACTTGGTACCAGTACTGTACCAGTTCCAGTTTCCCAAAGAGAACCTGATGTTTCCATGTTACATGTGCACATGCAGTGCTTACAGAGACAGATCTGACCTCAGCACTTTGTGCAGTTAAGCAGTTAAGCCAAAATGTTTATGTTCACGGTGTTTAAAGCAGAGGAGAAATCCATAAATCTAATCCTAGAAGACTAGGACACTTTGGACACTTACCATGTCCAAAGTGTCCAAAAGTGTCAGGCGGGCATTTTCCACCCCGTGTTTAGTTCTATCATTTTGATTTTTGGTGTGATGGTGGATTTCGTTCATGTGGGACAAACCCAGAGTCCAGAAGCAGCTGAAAGAGCTTGGTCATGACACCTCCAAGGTGAGTGGGCATGTCCTTCTTTGTGACTGGAGAGTGTGAGGGACTGGGGCTGCTGGGAATCCAGTCTTTCTGGGGTTGCTGTAAGTCGTTGAATCTGTTATAGAACATGCTTTACTGCTCTGAAAATGAGGTGGGATCAGAGTATTTAATTTGGCTGTGCTCAGGTTCCCACCCATCAGGGTGCTGAGCCCAGGCCAGGCCTTTCTTCCATTCCCTGCTGTAAACTTTTCTCTCCACTTTGTTCTCAAGTTGGATTTTGTTCAGCTTTACTTTCTGTCTGAAGTCCTTAAATATTCCAGTTTATTCTTATTTAGGAAAAACTTCAAGTCTTTTTTGACCCAAGGTGTATTATTTGGGTCCAACCAAACCTGCTTAGACGAGGTAAGAGAACCAGCAGAAACTATCAGGTAGAAAGAATCTGTGTTTCTGAAAAACACATCCCAGTCAGTCAGTTCTGTGCAGCCTCCCAGTTCCTCAGTTGACTCATTGGCCCATATGTTGATGGTTTTGGTCTACATATTGTTCAGAGTGTAATGATATCCTCTTACTTTAGGTGAATATCTGATGTTCACCAAACCTCATATCTGACTGCATTTTGAACATAGGCAGGCTAGTTGCTTCATGATTGAAGAAGGGAGCAGCTGCGTGAAGACGCTGAGCTAATGGCGTGCAGGTTGCCTTCTATGTTTAATGCACAGACGAGATTCTCTCCTTTACTTTAATAGTGGAAAGAAACTGAGAGTGAAAACTTAGTGCTGCCTGTGCACAGCTATGTCTCTCCATCCTGGGATTTTCACTCTGCTGCACAAATTCTTCTCTGATGAAAACGTACAAGTCGGTCTCTTTTGCTGTGTCCTCAGCCCGCTTCGTCAAGCTCTGCAAGTCAGTCATTTCATGTGTATATCATGCACTGATCGTCCATGGGGAAGGCGCTTCCTTGTTGCGTTTTGACTGTTTAGCAGTGTAGCTGCAAAATCACCCATATAAAGGATGACAGAGTGTGTGGTCAGCTGTGCAAGTCACAAACTGGGTGCTTTCATTTGACATCTTCTCCATCAGAGCCTGCTGGAACAAAGAGCTGGACACTGATTAGAAACTTTAGACTCACGGAGCAGGAGCTCGCAGTGTTGTGTGTGTTTTCACATGAATACCAGCAGCACAACCTCAGACTGGGACAAAGGTGCTCCTTTCTCTGAGCCTATACAGTGATGTTGTAGACAATAGTGTGCTTGTTTTGTGTTGCCAGCTTGGCTTTGGCCTTTTACTGTTCTGACATAATGCTCAATACAGAAACGTGGACTGCATAGATTCAAATGGAACCTCACCCAGACGATGGGCCTGAGTGTGATGCCTCAAATGATCACACATTTGATTGGTGTAAATTTTTTCTGCACAAAATGAAATCAGATCCTTGCTCACATGGCTGAATATGTGTAAGCCACTGCCTACTGCAGATGAACCTGCAGCAGGATCTGGGTTTCAGTCTTCACGCAGTCTTAGTCGTCCCTGTGTCTGTGCTCATGTTTACAGCTATGCAGGTAGGATTCACTTGTGATTCCAAGCTATTTTTTCTAATGCACCAATAGTAATAAATTATGGGAACGCTTGCACCATTTCCCCTTTTTTAAAAGCTCCATTACATGAGGGTATGAACATGTCACCAGAGGCTTGCCTTGCAGCAAGAAGGTTTCTGGTTGGCGCGGGTCTTTCTGTGTGGAGGTTGCATGTTGTGCCTTGATGGGCTGCCTCCAGTTTGTTCACATTGTCAAGGATGCGAGTCAGGTGACTTGCCATTGGCCTCTCCTGCGATGTAGGTGAACTACTGAATAAAGGGATATTTGGTTAAATGTGACTTGTACTCTCATCTCTAGTCTTACTGATCACTCTCAGCTCTTTAGAGTACATTATACTCACCGACCAAAACATTCCTA